GACAACCACAAGGTTTGTTTTCACAGAAAGTAACAAATCTAAATATTGAATAATGAGGAGTCTACAGCAGTGTCTCTATATATATATATATATGGATATTATAATGAGAAATGGATCCTTCACCACAGACGTGGGTTTCGCTCCTGCTGCGGGCGCTGCTGTTCGGAGGGGCTGCCCCCAGCAGCCCGTGCGCTCAGACAAACAAATACAACGCACCGATTTCTCCTCATCTGAAGGCAGAGTCCCTGGAAACACAAGTGTTCCTGGATGCCTGGAAGGAAGGAGAACGTGCGGGTCTTGCCAAGGGTGCTCTTGTTTTGGGCAGTCACGACGAAATGGCAGTTTCTGGATAAGAAGCCTGAGCTTCTTTTATCTCTATTAGTGTTCTGAGAAAGGAGCAACAAAGGAGAGCTAAGGGGAGAGAGCAAAGCAGAGTCAAAAAATGAAGTCACTTACACTTCCACGGTCAGACTCCAGTATGAGGGAGAAAAGTTTTATTCCAAAACACATTAGGGTGCACATTCACCACAACTTTTTTCCTCTCTTTTTAAAGCTGCAAGCTTGCAGAAGCCAAGGAACATATTTATAAAAAAAGGAATATAGTATAACAAATATTTGCAAGGATGGACCCAGAGTAATTCCTACAGTGACATTTTTTATTATTATTTTTAAAGTCTGTCTCCCACAAATGCTTTGCATTCCCATTATTTTGCAGGAAGCTCCAGCTTCAGACTTACAATTAGCAAAGAAAAAAAACGCTTGTTTCAAAACTCCTCTCAAATCAAGCACAGTCATTCTTTTTTCTGCAGAGCTGCTGCCTTTGCAGTCACTTTAATGTCAAGCTCCTGGCGTAAGAGCAACATCAGGAATTGCGGAGTGCAGCTACGCCAGGGGGTAATTTTGCCTTTCTAAAGCAGGTGGACGCTCTGCGCCACAAGAGCTGCTGGAAGGCGGCTCCGGTGGACGGGCACCGGCGTTCTCGCACGGTCAACGCGCCCCAGGAGGAAGCACAGCAATGATACTGCACAGGAGTAAAACACGTATTTACCAAAGACACTGGAAGTTTTGAAGTCTTAAAATCTACCTGGAAATCTGACACAACAGAGATCAGATTAAACGTACCTGAAAACTCAGAGCACTGCAATGTGGAAGCAATTGCTGTTGCACCTAGTCCCAGAAACACCTAAGCAAAGAGGCCGTTAAGCTTCAGACATTAATATCGAATCTCCGTGGGAATGAAGCTGGGCTCGGAAACACCCGAATGCAGGTGTTCACAAAAGCTAAAAACAAGGTCTCGAATCACCGGGGGACAGAACACGCGAGTGAAGCGCTGAGTGGGTCTGCGACTTCTAACCCACCCCGAGCCCCAAACGGGGGCTCCCTCCGCGCCCCCTCTTCAGCTCCAGCCCGCGCTGCCGCCGCGGTGCAAACCAAGCTCCACCACCAGGGAGGATGCTCGTCTGATTCGGGCCCCGAAAGACGTCAGCAGGGCAGGTTTTACATATTTTTATTTGACAGCAATGTATGGAAGAAGAAAAAAAAAAGGGGGGGAAAACAAAGAGCATACACAAATTATATACACGGTTACCAGACTATAAACAGTTCCAACACAAATTACAGATGACTTGAAATGAAATTTAAAGCATCACCAAGCAGCCTGCTGACAAGCCATCCTCCTCGTCCCGTGCGGGAGGCCCGGCACGCGCGGAGCGGCTGCTGCGGAGCCAGCTCCGAGGGAAGGGCGGAGGGCAAACCGGGCACCACGGGCACGGACGGAGCGCTCCGCTCGGAGTGACATTCTCACTGCTTATGCAAGCAGTAAGAGTATGGAGTGAAATAATAGCTCTCAAGTATCATGATTGATTGTTGGTTGCTCCCATAATGCCTCTTTTGCCAGGCTGGGACCGCACATTTGATTTAAATCAGATTCATGGCTTTAGTGCATATAGATCAAATGACAAATGGCAAATCATAATTATTAACGCAAAGGTTCTCTAAAAAAAAAAAAAAAAAAAATCAATCCTACTGATACTACATAAAGTCTTCTAAATTTAAGAAACAAGCTTTATTGATGCCAATTTCTGGGTTTTGCTTTAAGGCATAATACCGCAATTAACTTTTCTTAAACTATAAAGTTACTTTAGCTAATGAAGGTGATAAAAAAAAGTTTCCTGTACCCATGAGATGGAGATTCCATGCTAAATGCTTGAGCTCGGGCCGCGGTGAGCGGGAGATGGCACCGCACGAGCAGTGACCACCGGTTCAGAGCAAACCAGTCCTGCACCCGACAGAGAAATCTGTTACCTAGTTGGAGCATCGGCGTAGCAAAGGTTAGCTTGAATTTTGCAAGGGCGCTAGAACATCCATGTTCCTTTTGCTCGTGTGGAGGGACCCGATGTGAACGCTACCCAGGAGGCAGCGCACACTGCCGCAACACGAAGACCTTCCCAACGCGCGGCGGCGTCGAGCGCGCTGCAAAGCGACGCTGCCCGCGCGGCTGGAACCCAGAAACTCCTCCTCGTCTAGAAACGGCATCTACGAGAACCCGGGCACAGGAAACACAACTTGGAGAGGCTTTGGTGTCTATTAGCATTGAACTATGCAGGCTGTCGACAACCACATTCAGGACAGACACAGTGGAAAAAGCTCAACTATCCCGCTTACACTGAGACATAACTGGTTGGAAATCCTCCTGCAGACCCAAGGAGCAAGCACCTCTTGCTCACGCTGTTTCTGTTCACCAGCGAGCACAACAGATACCAAGCATTTTCACTGAAAACATTGTTTTCTATTTACTGTGTCCTGTAGCTCAAGACAAGCAGGTTGTAACATTAGCAGGCCACACATCTGAAATCCATAGGAGGAATACACTTTTGTACCCCCAGAAAGGATTAACTACAAAATACTGAAATAAACCAGCAGCGCGTCAGACTCCAATCGAGCCAGAAGCAACTGAAAAAGAACAAAATCTGTAGGTCAACTAGGCAGATTAAAAATGTATCCACCCTCATTTCCAGGCTTATTTGTGGAAAAATTATTTTACCCAGAGGTCTGACGCTGTTGGTTCCTAGAACAATTTCAGATTTCAGATATCCCTGTGCAGGAACGCGTCCTGAGGACGGGTGAAGGCCCATCTACAGCAGACGTGAGATTCCTACTGGAGCACAGACTCTCCAGGGATTACGTTACTGCTTGCTCACACACAGCAAAATTCCCAAGGATGGCCCTGGAAAACTGAAGGGAAAAAAAAAAAAGAAAAAAAAGAAGGTATTTCTGGCATGGTCTTCCTTTTCTGAGCTGCTTGGTCGTATTCAGATTTGCTGGAAGTAACTGCCATTTGAGGGGCTTGGGTCTTCAAAGTACTTCGAAGAGCAGTTCAACTCGTCTTGAAAGCCAAATCCGTTGATTTGGTGGAAAAAAAAAAAAAAAAAAAGCACTGAAATGACGAACAGTACCGTATCTTCTGAAGTATCTTCCCTTCCCGTATAGCGGCCTCCCTGCATCCCTTCCATTCCTCCTCCCCTTCATTTAGGGGGACACAGTCGAAAAGAAGCATCAGGTAAGAACTTACTGCTTCAGAAACACGACTTCTCACAAAAGCTGGACTTCAGCTTCTGACACAAACGATTCTTTTCACGGGAACGTTTTAGGCAAAGTTCCAGGAAAACTGACCCTACACAGCCAGAACAAAAACACCCATGAACTTCATGTTTCATCATGAACTTCTATTTTTAGGCAGTTTTTCCTCTCCTACTTGCAGGAAACTTGAATTGACAGAACAGCAGCCAGCCGTGCATGGGGACAGAAGGTGACTCAGTTCCAGCAGACGTGACCTGCAAGGGACCTTCCAGCCCGGCCTCCTGCCCCTGCTCCCTGCAGCAGGACAGCGGTGGTGCCCGAAGAGCCGCCGGGAAACACCAGAGGTAACCGCGAGCGCCGGGCCCAGCCGCGACGAGAGGAGGGGGAGG